CATGGAAACATCAGGGAGGACTTGGAAACATCAAGGAGGACCTGGAAACATCAAGGAGAACTTGAAAACACCAAGGAGAACTTGGAAACACAAAGGAGAACTTGGAAACACCAAGGAGAACTTGGAAACACCAAGGAAGACCTGAAAACACTGAGGAGGACATGGAAACACCAGGGAGGACATGAAGACATCAAGAGGGACCTGGAAACACCAAGGAGAACTTGGAAACACTGAGAAGAACTTGGAAAGACCAAGGAGGACATGGAAACATCAGGGAAGACATGAAGATATCAAGGAGGACTTGGAATCACCAAGGAGGATGTGGAATCACCAAGGAGGACGTGTGAGAAAAAGAACCCAACCTATAAATGAGGTTTCTTAACTTCCTGAAACATCAGAACCTGAAATTAAAAACCCTTTCAGCCACTGAATTTGTCAAGACAACCAAAAGGAAAGAAAACTTTGGAGATCTTCCCTCTCCGTGGATTTTCATGGTTTAAAAGGTGGAAAATCCTTCTCGGCTCTGTGGATGTTCCCTGACCTCCAGCTGATTGCCCATAAACAGATAAACAGAGCCAATCCCTGGCTGAGAAATTTGATTTTGGGAGATCTTTGTGAACCCTTTTGGCTCCAGAAGAAGACAAGGAGCAGAGTTGAGGAATGATGAGGGGTAGGACAAGACATGATCTCATCTGAACCTGGACCAAGGAGAATGGAGGAGGCAGAAAAACAATCGTCTGCGCTTATCCAGGAGAAGCAGGAATGGCAAAACTGCTGCCAAAAGCCATCCCAAAGAAATAAAAGGAAGATTAAACAGCTGTTAAATCCCAGAAAAGAGCGGGAATCAGGAGGAGAACTCTGCTGCTGTGGGTGGGAATAGAAGAGGAACAACAGAGGAACCTGCCAGGGGTGAGATTCCCCGTCCAAGCCCAACATGTGGCTCTGGAGAAGAGGACGCCGATCCGAAAGATTCCAGGGAGATTCCATGTGAGCCAGTCAGCCGGGATACTGCAATGCACAGCTTGCCCTGGAGAAGTGAGAGGCTCCACAGAACTCTGGAGTATTGCCAGATGTTTTCCAGGATGAGAGGAAAACAGGCACAGATCTGACACAAAGGAGGAGGGAAAACTAGGAAAAATCCGGGAACAGCTCTTTTGGATCTTTGCCTCCTCCTGGAAGTGAACTTGGGAAAGTTTCTTCCCCTGTTTTCTGAGGTGGACAGCGCTTGGAGCAACCTGGAATTGTGGAAGATGTCCCTGCCCATGGAATGAGATGGGCTTTGAGGTCCCTTCCAACCCAACTCATTCTTGGATGATTCCACGACAAAGATTCCATGGCAATGATTCCATGACAACAATTCCATGCTATGTTTGCTACCCCCCAGCTCCAATCTGCTCTCCCACGATCCCATGTTGGATCTGAACCAGGATGGGCACAAGCCCTGTAATTCCTGCAGGATTTGTGGATAAATCCTGAACAAATTAATCCTCTCCTCCAAGGTTTCTGTTCCTGGTGGCCTTTGGGGCTGTGTTTCCACAGGGAAATGCCAAAGGAGAGGAACTGTCATCCCAGCTGGACTCAGACCTTTGGAAGGGACAAACTCCTTGGGAAATGTCCTCAGCTCCTGGCGATGGAGGAAGGGAAGAGGAGCCTGCTCTGAATCCAAAGGCTCTGGCTAAGCTCCAAAAGGATCATTCCATTTGTCCTTCCAGGGCAAATCCCAACCCAAAACTGGGGCTTCTCCTCTCTTTCCAGAGGTTCCAGCTCTGATTCTTCCTCACTAAAATCCAGGAGGGAGGACTCTGGATCTCCAGAGGACAGATCCCGATCCACACACTCGATCAAGAGTTTGGGATCAGCCCAGGAATGATGGGAACACCCTGTGACAAACAGATCCTGCTGGGCCTTGGTGGAAGTTTTCCTTCTGTTTTGGTGTCAGCATGATCCCAATTTTTGCATGGATGTTGCTCACGCACAGAAACATCCAGAGAAGAAATATTTATTTGTGATTTGCAATTCAAAATGATTAAAAAAAAAAAAAAAAAAAAATAATTCTTCTCCCTGCACAACCCTCATGCCTGTAATTTTTATCTACTTTTAACAACAGGTTTGATTGATTTTAATCCTAAATAACCCAGTGTTGAATTAATTTCAGTGAGAGCTGCATTTTAGGAGGGGGGATTATGTTTGTTTATAAATAAATTTATGGCTTTTGCTGATTCCTTGAATTTCTGAGGGATTGTCAAATGTTCTCAATCTTGAGTAATAAACACAAGCAAAGAGTGAGTCACTGGTTGGGGCTTTTGGTATTTTTTGCTTTGTTCCAGCAGTGAAATGATAATTCAGAAACGTCTCTGAGCCAGAAAATCAGGAAGGGTAGAAGAAAAGAGCAGGAAAATGAATTAAATTTTGAAAAGTTGATATTTTGCTGCCTCTCACTTGGTGGGAAATGGTTATGATGAGGTTTGACTTAAAACAAGAAAAGAACATCACAAATAAATATTGGCTGTCAAAGATTTCTATTAGGGACAAGAGGGAACGGCCTCAGGCTGGGCCAGGGGAGGTACAGGGGGGACAGCAGCAGGAATTCCCTCATGGAAAGGGTGGTCAGGCATTGGAAGGAGCTGCCCAGGGAGGTTTGGAGTGCCCATCCCTGGAGGTGTCCAAGGAATTCCTGGATGTGGCACTCGAGGCTCTGCTGGGGATTGGACTCGATGATCTTGGAGGGCTTTTCCAACCTCAGGGATTCTGGGATTCTGTGCCCTGGGATAGATGGAGAGGAGCTCCAGCTCCTGTCAGAACCTCACAGCCACCACATCCCCCACCGAATCTGAATCCAAACCTCAGACATGTCAGAGGGAGGAGATTTCTCCCTGGATTCCACTGGGATTTGGTCAGGCCTTAATCTGAGAGGCTGATAAAGATTTGGGACACAAAGTCAGGATCCCACCTCCTCTTCCTGGCTTCCTTCAGAGCTTGGGGAAATTAACCCTTAATTAGCCCTCAGAAGAGCAGCTGGTTGCTGCTGGTGGAGTCTTTCTCCTCATTAGGGTTTGGATTAATTGTCCAGAGAAACTGTGGATCCTCCATCCTCGGAAGTGTCCAAGGCCAGGTTGGACGGGGCTTGGAGCAGCTGGGGACAGTGGGAGGTGTCCCTGCCCAGGGCAGGGGTTGGAACCAGGTGACCTTTTAAGGTCCCTTCCAGCCCAAACCATTCCAGGATTCCATGACCCTGTGGAACAGGACATTCAGAGGGCAGAGTGAGGAACAATTCTGAGTTTTAAGGAAGGACTGGAGCTGCTTTCTGGGAGCACCCTCAAAAAGGGAGGGCTGACTTATCCACCCTGGAAACCGATTTTAGCCACGAAGACCCCTCCGGGATGTGCAAATTCCACGCCCTCGGTGGTTCCCTCTCCACCACCCCCTCTGGAAGAACAGGAATGCTGCACATTCCCGTAACCACATCCAGATTGTTCCGGTTCCCCTCTTTGCTCTCAGAACTCAGGGAAAAGAGAGGACCACCCCCACCTGCATCCATGAGCTGTTAACCCTCCCCACCCCCAGAGGAGCATTTTGCCAAGGAGTGAGAATTCCCAAGGGAAGAAGAACGGGACGGGTCGTACCCCACGTGACCGTTCCCGTCCCCGTGTGTGTCACCAGGCAGGTTCACAGGCAGAGAACAAACCAAAGCCAGCGCCCAGCCTGCCTTGTCCCCTCCCAGGACGATGGCACCGCTCCCTCCCTGCGCGCCTCCCGCTTTCCCGGGGGACACTCCCGTCCTTCTTGGCCGCCCACGCTCTCCGAGGAATCTGAGGACCACGCAGATCCCTCCACGAGGATCTCTGGTGTCCAGCAGGTCTGGAGAGCTCTGGGTCACGGAATTCATGGATGGGATCACCCGCTGGCCACGTCGGTGGCTCGCTTTTTTTTTCTCCCCCCAAATAACTTAATCTCTCATTCCACAGAACGGAGAAACTGCATGGAAACCCTTGGAATCCGCTGCGTGGCCTGATGGTCTTTTCCCACTAAATGCTCCACTCCAGGAACCTTTTTCATCCTTTGGCTGAATTATTTTTTCCCCCTCCTCCCGTCTTTACATCACAGTCTCTCTCTCCTCTTCCACAAGGACAGTGGGTCTGTCTCCATCGTAAAGCCCGGAGCCGTTCAGGTATTCCTCATCTTTGTTGTACTGCTCAGGGCCGGAGGAAGGCATGGAATTCTCGGAAATGGAGCCATTTTTCACATAACCTGGCAAATTCCGGTGGCCGTTGAGGGTCCCTGGGATAAGTCTGGTGTTGAGGTGGAGGGCGAGGGCCCCTCTGGTGGCTACGTTTGTGATGCTGGTGTGGGAAACCATTGGTCCATAACTGTAGGTTGTGCTCCCACTCCGGGCTTTCCTTTTAAAGTCAAGTGCTAAAGTCCACCTGCTCCATGACTTCTTTATTTCTGCTTGGACCTGAGGGGAAAAAAAAAGGAAGGGGGAAAAAAACCTCATCAGTGGGAGAAGAAAAAATGCTGGAAAAACGCAGTGTCCGTAGACAGAACGGGTGGGAAACTCTGCGGGGACTCGGAATTTTGTGGTCCCTTCCAATTCAGGAGGATCCGTGACTCCGTGAAATTGGAAGGAACAAAAAGCTCACATTAAATCTGCCCTTTCCAAATGAAATATTGGACACTGGGAATGGCTGAAAAGATCTGTCTGGACAGGTGGGATAGCTCTGGCCAAGGGTTAAGGGATGGAGAGCGGTGCTTCCGGGAGGGAATTGTCTCCGTGTCCCGTCAAAATCAAGTGTGAGTGGGAAAAACCACCTTGAGAGGCACCCGAATCCTGAGAAATTTCCCGGGAATGGGAATTTTAGACTGGGTCTAAAGTAGTTTGCTAAAGTTAGGATGAGATCAATTCCCCTTACATTTTATCTTCGTTTGATCTGCAGAACATAAAAAGTGATTCTGTAGTTTTATTTCCCCTTAAAATCCATAAATTTGGGTTATAAATTCCCCTTAAAATCCATAAATTGAAGTTATAAATTCCCCTTAAAATCCACGAATCCAGGTCATAAATTCCCCTTAAAAATCCATAAATTTTGTTTTATGCCAGTCCGTGGAAGTTCTTCCCTGGGGTGCAGCCGCTGACCATCCACTTGCTTAATTAGCGATAGAGGGAATTAATGGAAATGGAGAAATTAAAGTGTATTATTCTGGAAATAGATAAAAAAGCCAAAAAAGCTTGGAAAAATCCAGATTTTTCTTTCTTTTTTTGGTTAATCAGTGACTCAATCAATCCATTTATCTTCTTAATTTGAAATGAAGCAGCACTAAGCAGCGCTTGTGCTAGGAAATCAAAAATTCCACATTTTTTCTCCATTATCTCCTTCCAGTAGCTCATTTATTGGCGCCATATCGACCTGGGGGTTTTCCTCCAGAAAAAAAGAAATGAGAATTTGAATTTTTTGTGTGGACTGAGGGACTTTGGACTGCAAAATGAGGTTGTTTGTTGTCGAAAAATGTGAGTCCACCTGGGTGTGGAATTAACCCATGAAAGGAGGGAATGAAGATGTTCATGACTCACCTCCCCGTTGCAAAAACAGTATATGATGGCAACAAAAAATCCCTGGAAAGAAGAAGAAACAACAAATTAACGGGAATTGAAGGAAATCTGGGTTTCTTTTCCGCCCAGCACCCCCTGTGATTGAAAACCTGCTGTGGAAAATGCGTGTGAGAAACGTGGGATTGTTCAGCGGGGCAGGAAGCAGAGAGAATTCCCTGTGGATGGAGCTCCTGGTGGACAAGGAGCCAGCAGAGTGTCCTGGGGGACAAGAGGCCGATGGGATCTTGGGATGCATTGGGAAGAGCGTTTTTTCCTGGACACACTTCCCCTTTTTTCATTGCGTTTCACAAATAGAAAATATTTTCAATTCCCCTCCTGAATGAATTCTAGCACACTGTAAACCCAGCCCTGCTTCCAAAGCCAGCCTTTCCCTCCCCTCCCCACTGAAATTCCCATGGTTTCCCAGAGTCCCGGTACCTGGAAAGAGTTGAACAACATTTCATAGTGCATTTGAACTTGCCAAAGAATCCCTGACACGTCTGTGTATGGCATAGCCATGAAAACAATATAGTGAACGCCAAACAGAGGCATAAGGACGAGGGTAGATTTCAGCAGCTTCCTGCAGGGAAAAAAAAAACAGGGATACAGTGGGAATTAGTGCATGGATAAACCTCCCCGGCATCACCAAGCCAGAGTTTTGTCACTGAGCACGAGCTGCGCTTGGTTTCCTCCTTGTCCCTGTAATTTCTCTCTCCTTGCCTCCTTTGGGCTCAATTCTCTGTGGCTATAACTTTTCCCTAGTCTCTCAGCCTCCTTTGGGCTGAATTCCTCTGGGATCCTCCCTCGTGGGAAGTCCCATTTATCTCAGTCCTTATTATTCGAAGAAAACTCCCCAGCTCGTTAGAATCTTGTTTCTCGTGTTTATTAACAGGTGGTCACAAAACTTGACAGGTCTCTCCAGGCTGGTTACACAAGGTTAATCTTTGCAATTTGGCACATTTCTTTCTTCTGATGGTACAAACAAGGCCTTGTGGCTCACTTCGTGTGTGATGCACAAAACGGCCCCGAACTACGCAGTTCTTTTATCTTTATACCTATTTTTACCCAATTAACAATAGACACGTATATTATTTTTCTTAATGAGCCAATGACCCATCACGTGTGTTCTGCACTGCGGCATTCTCTATCCAATCACTTACTATTACCCAAAAACCTCTAGGAGAAGAACATGAAGAAGAAAGAAGAAGGGACAAGGGACAACACCCTAAATCCTCCACCTTGTCTCCTGTTCTCTAAACTACTTTTTCACCCAGTGATTAAAAAAACTTTCTAATCTGCACACTTACACTTTTAGCTTTTTTCATCTAACTTTAACATTTGTTTTCATGTTTCACCATGAAAACATGCTCATGAATTTCATATTATATGAAATTCAGTGTTTTTTGTGAATTCTAGAGCTAGGTATTAAAAACAAGGGCACACAATCTGTATGTCAGACTCCCAACAGTCCCCTTGGATATGGGATGTTTATGGAGGAATTCCGCAGGGAATTCCAAGCTGTTGTTTCGTGCCCCAGCTTGTGCCAGTCCAGCCCCTCAACACGTCCTTGTGTGACGCTGGAGTTGACGACACCGAGGTGCCTTTTCCAGCCTCAAGGTTTGGAGGAATCCAGGAAAGGAATGGAAGGGATTTGTGCTGCCATTCCAGCCCTCAGGCTCCAAACCCCCTGATCCCTAAAGGATGGATCTCCACCTTCCTGCACAACCCGCAGGGGCTGACACTGCTCGAGCAGCAGGTCGGAAAATCGACTTCCAGAGGTCTTTTCCAACCTCAACCACTCTGTTGAGGCAAGACAGGAAAATCCACCCTGGATCAGTGGCTCCTGTGCAATGAGCAGATCTGGAGCAGAGGGATTTAGGAATTAGGAGTGGAATTGCTCCAGATATCCAGGGGAGGAGGACAGAGCAGATGTGAGCACTCCCAGGAGGTGCTCCAGGCTTCAGCATCACTTGGAAAAGCTCCTTTTTTCAGGAAGCAGCTCCACCTCAGCACAGAACCAGCACTGGGGACTCCGAGGAGACACCACAACCCGGAGTGTTTGGCTGGGCTGGCTCCGGAGGGAATCGGCTTTGCCTGGAAGTGACATTAATTGAGGGATTAAGCCTTGTGCCAAGAGTTCCAGCAAGTCCCTGAGTGCAGCAGGGATCGGGAAGGGCGTGAATCGCTCCCAGAAAACTCTGGCGCTGCCTCTGTCCAGCGCCTGCAAACCACCGAGGGAATTTAACACTTTAAAAGGAGCAGGCCCCATCCAAACCATAATTAATGGCAAAGCTTCAGCCAGGGAGAAGTAAATAAATGGATAAATCAGAACCCTGACAGGGCAGCGAGGAAAACTGGGAGGCGTTTTCCTGCCAAATCCCCCTCCCGCCTCAAATGTGTGTTTGGAGAGGGAGGTGGGAGCAATGAGCTCATGGTTTACATCCCGGATCATTCCGCTCTCCCCCCTTCCCAAGTGGCCTGTTGGGCAGTCTGGGAGATCCTGAGAAGCCTTGGGAGCTCTTAAGCAGCCGTGGTGGCCCAGCAACCCGATTTTTCCATCCAATTTTTGACCACGCCACAAATAACCTGAATTATCAAGGGAGATGAGCTGGCAGGACAAAGGAAAACCAAACAAAACATGAAATGAAATTGGAATATTTTTTTTTTCAGTTCAGCCAAGGCAGCGAAACACCCGCTCAAGGGCAGGTTTAACAAATAGGCCAAGCTTAACAAAATGCAGGAGGGAAATAAAAATAAGCAAATAAACCGATTCAAGTTTTACGGCCTTCAACAGCGCTAACAACATTTCATTTTTGTATTTTTGGTTCAAAAACTGCCTGAAGAGCTGGAATTCCTCCCTAACCTCCAGCAGGTTGGATTTGAAAGGTTTAGGAGAGTTTTAAATCGCTCTGGCTCATTCTGCATTACCACACTTGGAGGAGAACGAACGTTTCAAGTCATTTGAGGTGGCACCAGCGTCACCCTGGGCTTTCTCCAGAGCCAAGGGGGTGAACCAGGGACTTCGTCCCATCCCAGCAGGGGACAGGGCGGGTGACCCTCACCTGTACTGTTGTCTTGAGTCGCACCTCCCTGCATTCGTCTCTCGGAGCTTGGTTGCGAGGACTCTGATAATATTGATAAAGAGAATAAAATTTACCTGCAAGGAGAAGAGAACAAAAAACAAGGAGATGAAAACCGTTAAAAAATGATGAAAATGGTGGAGTTGTTCAGTTGGTGTTTCCCCCAGGTGAGGCAGGGGCTGGGGAGGAACCTCCTCCTGTGGAAGGGATGAGCGTTCCAGGAGTGATCCCAGGGTTTTTAGCCTTCAGGGACAATATGGAACGGCTCACAAGGTGTGGACATTTCACGTGGAAACATCTGAGCCAGCCAGCCCAGCAGGCACCTGGAGAAGGCCAAAACGAGGTTTGATTTGTCTTTCCCAGCCCAGCTGGGATTCAGATCCCCTTGGGATACCGGGAGCACCCGTAGGATGTCTCCCCACATTTCCATGTGCCGAAGGAAAGAGGAACAAGCCAAATGCACCGTGGTGAGGACACAGAGTGGACCTAAGTGGAAATGACAGCTCAAGAATGCAGAAGGGCAATGAAACTGTTGGATTTCTCCCACATTCCTACTGACGAGCTTCCTCTGGGAAGTGTTTAGGGTGGAGCGGACAAGGACAGTCAGGGAATATCAACTACTGCTTTTCAGGGAGACACATCTGTGAACCCAACTCGTGGTCAAAGGCTCAAGGGAACTCCAGTGGCATCCGAGCACCTTGGAACAGTCTGCCCCAGGAAGAAGTGGAATCACTGTCTTGGGAAGTGGTGGAGTTCCCATCCCAGGAAGTGGTGGAGTTCCCATCCCAGGAAGTGGTGGAGTTCCCACCCCAGGAAGTGGTGGAATTCCCACCCCAGGAAGTGGTGGAGTTCCCACCCCAGGAAGTGGTGGAATTCCCATCCCAGGAAGTGGTGGAGTTCCCACCCCAGGAAGTGGTGGAGTTCCCATCCCAGGAAGTGGTGGAGTTCCCACCCCAGGAAATGGTGGAGTCCCCATCCCAGGAAGTGGTGGAGTTCCCATCCCAGGAAATGGTGGAGTTCCCATCCCAGGAAGTGGTGGAATCCTGTGTGGATGTGGCACTTGAGGACAAGAGTAAGCGGTGACCATGGTGGTGCTGGGAGAATGGTTGGACTTGGTCTGGGAGAACATTTCCAACCTTCATGACTCCGTGATTCCAATCTTGTCCTACGAGGAACTGAGGAAAATCTAATGGTGGCACCTCATGGGGAGGAAAGATGGGTTGACACTGGGGAGATTCCCATCTCTGTAGAGCTCTTCGGGGCTTGGTTTCCCTGGACTCCAGCAGCTGCTGGCCCAGCCAAACCGACCCACGGGATTATGGAGAGGGCATAGGCAGAACCGGCCTGTAACTGCACTGAGCAGATCCACGTTGTTGGATAATGCCTACGGATTCCTCCGGAGCCTTCGGCATTTCAGGACACTGAATTACCACACCACAAACAGGCTCAGAATTTTAGGGAGGGACCATCGTGAACCTCAGGTTGGGCAGTCCAGGAGACCTCCTTGGATTAATTTTGGTTGGAGCAGATCCGTGTTCTAGCATTTCCTTGACAAAGATCCCACCACAACCATTAGAGAGTTGTTCCCGTGGTCAATTATCCTGCCTGGCAAAACCAGGAATTCCCTGAGCTGATGAAGCAGCAGGGCCTGGTTTTCCTGGTTTTCCTAGTTTTCCTGGTTTTCCTTCTCCTTTAAGGAGGTGCGAGCTCATTTGGAACTTCTTCTCCACAAAAAAAAAAGCAGGGAAGGTTGTGCCACACCCTTTCCATCACTGGGATATGGGTGAAAATCCTCTCCCATATCCATTTCCCCATTTTCATGAGGTTTGTGGGAATTTCACATCGCTGCAGCCCCATTCCCTGAGTTCCATTTGGCTGAAATTTCCTGGCTGGCACAGGGATTATAACAGAGGAATGGACAGACGGACAGGCAGGGAAGCGCAGAGCCTGGGGGCATTTAATTCCTTGGAAATCATCTGGAAGGGAAAAACCAAGCAGGATTTATCTCTCTACAAGAGCTTTTCCAGCTTTAAAGGCTCCAAAGCGGGATCTTGTTCTGCATTTGTCGGCAAAATTAAAGATGCCCAACCTTATCACACCCAGGAGGGAAACTCCTCTGGTTTCCCCAAACGTGCTGAGTTGGAAAAGAAACCCAGACAAAAGAATCACATCTGAGTTAGCAGAAAGTGGAGAGATTTTAAACCCCTCAGCCTCCAAAATCTCATCCAGAAAACGCAGGACTCAGTCCAGCAACGTGGGAATGGCAGAAGCAGCCAAGCGAACAATGCGAACCCACAGAAGTCAAACAGACGCAACCCGCGGAATATTTTTGCATAATAAACAGCTGCATTTGCATATTGCCAGGGCACAGGCACAACCTCACGGAGAAACCTTATTTTTCCATGGGTGAGCCTCAATTGGGCTCCTTCTTCTCTGCTAATTGGCCTTTAAATGGAATGCGATGGGGTTGCTGGAATTCGTTTAATTGAACCATCTGAACTTTCTCCTCCAGCCTCCGCTGTTCCATTTCCAAAGATGTGGTCTCGGTGATGCGCCTCTTCCGAGGAATCGCTGGAGCCAGGTGGAGAATTTCCACCAAAAGGATGAAATGCAGAGCCCCCAGACCCCAAAAATTTCACCTAATGGCACAGATGAGCACATCCACCTCGGAAGATTTCCTGCTCTTTGTGCGTCTGGAGTTCTTGTCACCCGCACTGAGCATCTTCCAAGGCCTCCTGATTTGTGAGGCAGGAGGAAGAACCTGACTCCAAAGCCTCTGGAGAGATTCCTACGGACTCCGCTCATGGATGAGTGGAAAGGGAGATGGGATTTGGGGGAGTGTGTGAGCTCTTTTACCTGGATTCCATCAGGAGATTGAGCAATGGAGAACTCCAAATAAAGAGAGGGTGAAGAGGGTAATTAAAGAATTCATTAATGGGGACATAATTGGATTCATCTGGTGCAGATAATTAAACCTTCTAATGCTCTCTCCAGCTTTGGAGAGCTCCTCCTCTGTTGGGATAATGTCACTTGGATCCTTTCTTTCCCCTCTGGGTGGGGGTTGGAATAATCCACTCTCAGTGATTAAAGACCCAATCAAAGCCGGGATGGTTTCATTTCCCTTCCCACCTCCAGCTTCCCGAACTTTTATCTGCTCAGAAAGAACGGGATCACCCTGGAACATGCCTGGGAAAAGCTTTGGTCCAGCAACAGACCCCAAATTCCATCTCTTCCTACCGGAGATGCTTGGTAAGAACACGTTATGACCCCTGAGAGTTTCCAGGATCACCTGGGTTGGAAATACCACCTTAAATGTTGGTTTCATTAATGATTTTAGGGTCTTAGCCCTAAAAATGTGGGATTTTTCTCTCCTTGAAGTCACCCACAAACCCTTCTGCCATATTCAGCTGCCAAAATTCCAGGCAGGACAAACATAAACCCCTCGAAAGGGACATGGAGGGGTCATTATAGGGCAGGATTTTTGATAATGGGGTGATTAGAGTGGGAAATCCTGGATCAGCCCTTCCCAAGGACCCAAAGGCCTGCCAGCCCCTCCCTCCTCCCAAACTCACCACGATAGCTGCCAGGATGGGCACCTGAATAATCCACTTTAAATTGCCAGCACTCAAGTCCCAACACCTGAGGAGAGATGGACATCAGGTCAGGAAAGCATCGGAAGAGCCAGCGACTCAAGAATTTCCTTGGAAAAATCCCCCTGGAAGGATGGGTCCCTCCAAAGCCTGCTGGAAGGACTTTCTCTAACCCTGCCTGCACTCCGTGAAACTTTGGGATATCCCTTTTCCTGCTGTTTTGCTATTAAAAAATGAGAATAAGAATAATTTTAAGGCTGGGATGGTTCTGCTCTCCAGAGGGTGAAGCTCTTTTTCCACACTCATCCAGACTTGGCCCTTTCCCACATTTTCGCTTCCTTGCCAGAAAAAAATCCCTACATTAAAAGTAATCCAGGTTTCATGAGCACAGGAGAGATGTAGGATCACAGGATCCTGGAATGAGTGGGGTTGGAAGGGACCTTAAAGACGGTTTAATTCCAAATCCCTGCCATGGGAAAGAGGTTGTTCCAAGCCACTTCCAACCTGGCCTTGGACACTTCCAAGGATGAGGCAGCCACAGCTTCTCTGCGTGAACAGTGCCAGGGCCCCCCTACCCTCTCAGGGAAGAATTTTTCCCAATATCCCATCTATCCTTGACCTCTGGCAGTGGGAATTTTCCATTTCCACTCCCCGTGTTCTGTCCCTCCAGTTCCTGATGGATAATCCCTCTCCAGTTTCCCTGTAGGCCTCTCTCGGGATCTGTCCCTGCTCATGGCAGGGGGTTGGATTAGATGACCTTGAAAGGTCTTTTCCAAGCCAACCATTCCATGATTTCCTCTTGGAATACACCTGCACAGCTTCCCATGGGGACAGGTGGTGTCTGACACGCGGTGACGGGGACGGTGCTGGGATTCCACACTCGCTTCCCGGATTTCCTTCAATGCTGCCCTGGCAGGGAGACTCAGCCACATCCCCCCAAATCTTTATCTCCATCCACCTTTGGTCCTTATCCCAGTGAGGACTGGAAGGGCCTGCTGGTGACGTGGATATTGGGATTCTGGGATATTGGGATGTTGGGAGGTTGGGATTTTGGGATATTGGGAAGTTGGGATGTTGGGATATTGGGAAGTTGGGATGTTGGGATATTGGGAAGTTGGGATATTGGGAAGTTGGGATGTTGGGATGTTCGGATATTGGGATGTTGGGATATTGGGATATTGGGATGTTGGGATATTGGGAAGTTGGGATGTTGGGATGTTGGGAAGTTGGGATATTGGGATGTTGAGATGTTGGGATATTGGGATCCAATCCTCCATCTGCCAAGAAGGGGCAGGCTCTATTTGCTCCCAGGAGTTTCCAGCAGTCCTTGGAAAAGCTGACTCAGTGTTAAATATTCTGCTGGAATTCTCTCCAGCTCTGGAGACAGGAATGCCACAGGCTTTTCCTTATCTGATCCAGGTAACCCCCATGTGGCAGCTGCAGTTTTCCCAGGCCAGCTCCTCCAGGAAAGCGAGGCCGGAAAGCCGTCAGTGTTCCCTGGAAGCCACTGTGAGGATGGGCCGGTGTCACACACGTGCCACCCTTCAGTAGCTCTGCTGATCCACCCGTCCAAGCCAGGAGCTGAAATCCCCTTTGGAACGTGGAGTCTTCCCATGCAAAGCCATTTGGGAATGCCTGGGGACCCTCTGCTGGAGGATCCTGGCAAGATGGAAGCGCTTGTGTGGTCAAGCCTGGGAATTTTGGGGAAAAGGCCAGGTTGGATGGGGCTTGGAGCAACCTGAGATAGTGGAAGGAGTCCCTGCCCATGGCAGGGGGTGGAATGGGATGGGCTTTAAGGTCTCTCCCAACCCAAACCATTCTGGGATTGTAAAATCCATGGAGGAGTTGGAGTTCTACCACCCCAGCACCACCAAACTTCTCTGACTGTGCTGCAGCTGCTGTGTCCCAAATTGATTCCAGACAATCCCTTTGTCCCCAGGGATAACCACCACAGGTATTCCCATTTACTGAATCCTGCGAAATGAAAGGAAAAATTACCCTTCCCTTCCATCCACCACCCTCCTCCGAAAGTTAATGACGTCAGAGTAGAATTCCAGCTTTGCCTGGTTCTTTTTCCTTTTGAATCTGAAATGCCACAAAACTCCACACATGAAGGGGAGAGAAGGAAACCCAGTGGGACTTACTCTGTGTCGGCCAGAGTGGCTCTGACGCTGGCCCACACTGTGACAAACACAGCAGGGAGTCCTGCAAGAGAACACAGGTGACACGAGGTCAGCGTGGGACTGAGGGCTCCGGCACCAAAATTCCAGGTGGATTGGGTTAGGGGAAGGTGGAAGGAGCAGTTTTAAATTGTTCAGGAATAACTGAGTCTTGGGAAGGATGAGTTTTCACGTCTAAGAACTGAACTGGTTCAGTTTGGGATGCTCATAGCAAAGACATTGAGGGGCTGGAGCGAGTCCAGGGAAGGGAACGGAGCTGGGAAAGGGGCTGGAGAATTCCTGAGGGAGCTGGGATGGGGCTGGAGAATTCCTGAGGGAGCTGGGAAAGGGGCTGGAGAATTCCTGAGGGAGCTGGGATGGGGCTGGAGAATTCCTGAGGGAGCTGGGAAGGGGCTGGAGAATTCCTGAGGGAGCTGGGAAAGGGCTGGAGAATTCCTGAGGGAGCTGGGAAAGGGCTGGAGAATTCCTGAGGGAGTTGGGAAAGGGGCTCAGCCTGGAGCAAAGGAGGCTCAGGGGGAATTTCTGGCTCTGCACAAGTCCCTGGCAGGAGGGGACAGCCGTGGGGGTCGGGCTCTGCTCCCAGGGAACAGGGACAGGAGGAGAGGGAACGGCCTCAGGCTGGGCCGGGGGAGGCTCAGTTGGAAATTGGGAAAATTCCTTCCTGGAATGGGCTGTCCAGGCCTGGCCCAGCTGCCCGGGGCAGAGGTGGAGTCTCCATCCCTGTTAGGATGTGACATCCCTGTGGATGTGGCACTTGGGAACATGGTCAGGGCTGGCATTGGCAGAGCTGGGGTTGCTTGGACTCGATGGTCTCCGAGGCCTGAGAGTGCTGGAACCGATTTTGGCCAACTCATCCCATGGGAAGCAGAAAACTCAGGAGCCAGGCTGAGAGAGCTGGGAATGTTCTCCTGGAGAGGAGAAGCTCCAGGGAGAGCTCAGAGCCCCTTCCAGGGCCTGAAGGGGCTCCAGGAGAGCTGGAGAGGGACTGGGGACAAGGGATGGAGGGACAGGACACAGGGAATGGCTCCCACTGTTTGGATGGGATATTGGGAAGGAATTCCTGGCTGGGATGGAATTCCTGGCTGGGATGGAATTCCCAGAGCAGCTGTGGCTGCCCCTGGATCCCTGGAAGTGTCCAAGGCCGGGTTGGACAGGGCTTGGAGCAGCCTGGGACAGTGGGAGGTGGAACGGGATAATCCTCAAGACCCCTTCCAACCCAAACTATTCCATGATTCCATGATTCCAATGGTTTTATGCAGCACACCTTCTCCAAGATATTTCCTCCCTTCCTTCACATCAAGGAAAGGTAGAGCAGGAGTCAGGCTAAGAGAGTTTCTCCCAGAAAATCCCTGGGTGGATTGGAAGCTCTGTTAAATGCAAGAGAGCTGCTGCACGAAGCGGAGAAATGCTGAAATTTAGGATTATGCTTCCAAAATATCCAGCCAAAGGTTCATTCCCAAATGAACCATCCTGATTCCAGCACAGATACCCCAAGCCATCATCTTTTCCCTGGAAAAAAAAAAAATCCCCCCAAATCCAAATGCAACCTTGTATTTATTTTTTTAGGGTCCAGTTATTTGTACAACTGAGTCCCCTACTGGCTTCCCTTAAAAAGCAGGATCCAAGCCACAGTAGCTTCCACAAATTTGGGAAGAATGACCCCTTTCAGGTGGGGAAAAAAAAAAATTATTAAAAAATAAATAAAGGCGACATTTATCAGCGGGGACTGTGAAGAGGCTGTTCCCAGCCTAAGCTCACTGGGGCTCGGGGATAAGCCCAGGCTTAACTTTCAGCATGCACTTAAGTCTCATTAGGGTGCTTAAAGGTTTTCCTGACCACGGGGTGTGGAGCAGGGACGGCTGTGTCCCAAAGCCAGGGACAACGGGGCCCTTATCCCAGCCGGGAGCTGGGAATGCCGAGGTAATATAAGAAAGCATAAATAATTAAACACAGAGCCTCACTCAGGCCCAGAGCTCCTACAAAGCCACATTTATAAGGAATTCATCCCCGTTCCACAATTCCCTGTGGTGCTGGCACTGGGAAGAAAATCCTTGACCTGTCGCACTGGGGACTTGGAACGAGGGAAGGTGACAGGCACCGGATCTTTCCTCCTCCCTGCTATCCACCTATCCATGGAAAGTAGGGCAGGCGCTGGGAAATCATCCAATGGATTGAATTTTTTGGTGCTCATTCCGTTTATACCCACTGAGGAGCTGCTGTGTTGAAGGGCTGTCCATGAAAGATTGGATATTCCCACCATGGCAAAGCTCTAAGGGTGAACGGTGGATTTTTTGGGAGATTGGGATATATTTGGCAGGAATTTGTTCCTCTCTTGCCTGTTCTGAACTTCAGGAGAGGCACAATTCCCATTTTTACTAATCCTCTGCTGACTTCGAGCTCCCAAGCAACAATAAAATAACCAGGGGAAAAGAGTTATCCCTAAAATTCCCAACATGTGCATGGATGGATGGATGGATGGATGATGGATGGAAGGAATCCATGCATGATGGATGGATGGATGGATGGATGGATGGATGGATGGATGATGGATGGATGATGGATGGATGGATGATGGATGGATGGATGATGGATAGATGGATGATGGATGGATGGATGGATGGATGGAATCCATGGATGGATGATGGATGGATTTTTGGATGGATGGATGGATGGAATCCATGGATGGATAGATGGATGATGGATGGATGGATGGAATCCATGGATGGATGATGGAAGTCCTACCCTGATCCAGCCCAGCCCGCCATGCCGTGAGCGACTTGTACAGAATCCACATTGTATGCGCTGTGCATTTCCAGCCCCACACACAGTGTGTACAATGCAGGTGCTATAAAGTCAGGAATCTCCCCAGCAGCCGGAAAATGGGAAAGATCTGCTGGCCACCCCAACCCCTCCAGGGCTTTTCCCGTGTCCGTGTCTCCCAGCAGCTGGAAAAATGGGTTTCAGGCATATGGAGTGAGGGAGCGACTGCTGGAAGGGAATTTAGGAATAAAGACCATGGATCTGGGAATTCTGTCAGTTCCCTGGGATTTAAAGGCCTCTCTGAGGAACAATGCCTGTGTTTTATGAGTCCCTCTGTGTCCCTTTTTCCTGGATGTTAAAAGGGAATAATAATATTAATAATAATAATAATAATAATAATAATAATAATAGTAGCATAATACTTTGAAGGCCTCTGGTCCTGCTTGGTACAAATTTTTCAGGGAAGGATTATTCCTGCTTGGATAAACATGCAGGACTCATCCTCACGGATTTTCGGAGCACGTCCCACCATCCTTTTTTATCTTTTCCAGGTGTCCCTGCAACCCCCAATTTGCTGAAATCCAGGGCAGCCCAGCCGTGTGTGTGGGAATTAACGCGGTGTGAAGGAAAAATGCCAACGGAATCAGCTTGGGTTTCCTGGCTATTGGTCATGGTTCCTAAACTTCCTTCAAAAAACAGCTGCAGGGAGCTGGGAGTCTCCCAAGGGATTTATTGTAGCCCATAATGTCATTATTTATTTATTTGGGGTGGGTGCTGGCAGGGAACGAGTTCCTTTCCATCGGCAGGATGGATCCCTTGGAAGAAGGGAATTGAGGACTTTGATGGAGCGTGTGCCAGTGAGGATGTGGATTGAAAATACCGGACATAAATCCGTGGAGGTGACATCAAAGAATTGCTCTTTGTCCTGCTTTTCCCAGAAATAAAATGTTGTAGGGTGATTTTCACTCCCTGTTTCCACCTCGGAGATTTCCAGGCAGGACAAATTCGACTCTGATTATTGCCTGCATATTCCAGGTTTGAGTGCAAATCTGTCTTTTCTGTGGGATAATTATTTATCCCCGGTTCCCTGTCACTCATTGCTGCGGTGTGGGCGGGATCCAGTGCCCGCTGCAGGGAACTGGAATTTTTCCACTGTCTCCAGTGGCTCCTGGATTGGTTTGCCCTTTCCAGTGCCCAGAAATTATCCAAACAATCCGCCTGAGCGGGTGCCCGTGCGGACATTATCATCCCAATCCAAACAAAGCAATCCCAACTGCCACCGGAGGGATCGTGTGTTCTCATTCCAGAGAAATTTCCACGGGACAGCCTCCTGGAAGCCCGGGGATGCTGGCTGTTGTGACAGGTGTGCCTCCAGCCCTGCGGTCGCTCCGATAAAATGATTATTCCCTGGCAGCGCTCGGGGAGAATTAACGAGAGCAACCATCCCAACGTTTTCCTTTGGTCCTGCTCGTTAAACACACGGCATTATTTTCCAGCCGCTTCCCCCTCTCCTCCTGAATTCCCTCTGGGAAGTTGCTTCTTTGAGTCTGCTCTTTTGCAGTCTGATGTTATTTTTTTTTTGGAGATGGAATTTTTTACAGAGCCTGAAGGTTTGGAGGAAGATGAGTTTATTTCTCTTCTCTAATTCAATTTAGTTGGGGTTTTGTTCATTTGCTTTAGCAAAGAGGTGCCATCCAAAGCCCTCTCTGTCCCTCAGCAGCTGAGATAAGAAATGCCAAGTCCCCAAAATAGAATCCCAAAATAATCTGAGTTACGAGGGACCTTAAATCCCATCTCATTCCACCCCCTGCCAAGGGCAGGGACAACTTCCACTATCCCAGGTTACTCCAACCCCCATTAAATATCTCTTAATTTGTTGATTTTCCCAAATTTTTTTCCAGCTGTCCAGGACTAGGTTTTTCCTGAGAGTTGGAATCCCACTTTGGAATATTTCTGTATTTACGCTTCCCATCTTTATCATCTGTCAGCAGTTTCTGACCCATGGAGCAGCTGATGGCTTGGGAAGCAGCATCTTCCCCATATCCCATTTGGGAAGGAGAAAGGCTGGAGAGAGCCCTGCCCCAGAGTATGGAATCCCAAAAATCTTAAATCCTTCATAAACTCAGTTCTGTGTTCCCTGCCTTGCTCCCAGCTCCACCATTAAGAGAGAGCCACCAACTTTCTTTTCCCATAAAAATCTAGTTCTGGAATGGGGATGGGGTGGTGCACACCTGAACCTTGTCCTAAATTGCAGTCAGGATGCAGCCAGGTGGATTTGGGATATGGAATTTGGGAAGGGGTGCTGAGCCAGGTAGCCACAGCCCCCCCTGGACAGGTTTTCCTGCTGTAATTCCTGTTTAAGCCTGCACCCCATTATCCTTCCTCACATCCTCGAGGATCATCGGAAACATTCCCTGTTCTCCTCCCAACCTCCAGACTCCGAGACAACTGTGGGCAGCTGTTTTATTATCCCAGCACCTCGTAACTCCTGGGAAGCCAAAATTAAAGCCAGGAGCGAACAGAAATCCCATTCTCCTCCAAAATGTGTGTGCCCAAAACGTCTTCTCCTAATGAGCCCCTTCCCTGCACCCACATCCCGCCCCTTTCTCATTACTCAGGGAAAAGATGCCCAAGTTGAAAGAAAAGGAAAATAAAAAAGTCTTCCCCACAAATTGCAGGTTTTCCAGTGGTGTTCCAAGGCTCAGGAGACCTCAGGGATTTGAACCAGCTGAGGTTTGAGGGAGGAAATCAGAGCTTGGGGCTCTCATTGGGAGCAGATGCTCAAAACCTCCCACAGATTTCTGCCTCTCCAGCTCAGCACTGGTTTCTCAACAGGAGATCCTGGGAAGAGATGGGGATAAATCCCTGAAATTGCCTGTCTCATCCCAAATTTAGCCCTCACATTTCCTGCCCTGGAAGGGCGGCAAAACTCTGAGGTGGTGAGGCTCCACCAGAGATTTGTGGCTGCCCCAGATCCCTGGCAGTGCCCAAGGCCAGGTCGGACGGGGTTTGGAGCAGCCTGGGACAGTGGGATGTGTCCCTGCCATGGCAGGGGTGGCACTGGAGGGGCTTTAAGGTCCCTCCCAATCCCAACCCATCCTGGGATTCCCTGGCTCTTTGTGCTGCCTCTCCAAGCCTGGGCTGATCCTTCTGGAGACCCTGGAAGAGCCACAGTGTGAACACCACAACTCTGGAATGATAAAGGATGGAAAAGGGTGGAAAAGTCGTCCTTGCGAGAGCCCCCTGATGCCCATCCTGCCTCCACCCCCTCTCCCATATTTCTGTATATCCACAGTTTCCAGAAACACCTCCAAGAGGCTTTTCCAGGCAGCCACGAGGAGCAGCCATGACTTACCCCAGCCAAATAACGTGAATCCCCAAAGATATTTCTTCTCTGAGAAAAATGCCATGAAGATGAGGCTGTGGAGATAGAGCCCTTCCACCAGGATCCAGTAGTAATTGGTTGCCAGGAAGTAGAGGAAGAAGGTGACAGCTACTTTACAGCCCACCTGCAGCGACCACAGAAGGACAGAGAAGGAACACGGCGTGAAATTCTTGGTGGGGCGGGAAACAGAGGTGGAAAAAGGAAAATAATTAAATCGGATAATTATTATAATAACTACAAAAAATTTTTTATTATTTATTATTTTATTTTATTATTTATTTTAGTTTATTATTTATTGTTTTATTTTATTATTATTTTATTATTTATTTTATTACTTAATAAATAATTATTATAATAAATATAATAAAATTCTGTTCAGGGGTTTTTTATGAGGGGGGAAATCCGTGGAAGAGCAGGAAGGAAAAAAAGTGGGGGGAAAAAAACTCCTGAGCCGAAGATGATTTTTCCTACGTCAGGTGAGTTGGGAAGGAGAGAAAAAGAGATGATGGCGTGATCCTGCTGTCTCCCAGCTCTGTGAGGAGGGGCTCACACACTTCCTAGAGCAGTTGGGTTTCATCTTTCCCTGTGTTTCTTCTTCTCCCTCTGTCCCTTGTCCATGTTGGAGGCCAAAGGGCCTCGGCCTGGGTGTCCTGGTGTCACAGCACCTGGAATCTCCTTCCAGGAGAGACCAAGGTGGGATGAGGTCGCCCCATCCTGCCATGGATGTCCACGCCAGGATCCTCTGGGGTTGTTTTTCTGTCCTCAGCAATTGGGAGCCACTGCAGATGGTTCCTGCTGCCTTTGGAGCTGGGAGCTCCAAGAGCAAACAGAGCCTGGAGGTTTTTCCTTGGAAAACCTGAGCTGCAAGGTGGGAGATCTGGGAGAGGCTTCCAGGACATGCTGGTGTTAAACGGGCTCCTACACTCAGCTCTCGCTCCACACTGAGATGAAATCCTGTAATTTTTTTGGAAGCAAAACTCCAACTGTGACCCAACACTCCCTTGGGGCAGAGCAGGACAAAGCCACCCCTCTTCCCAAATTTCTCAGCTCTAGCAGACAAAGGCTGCAAAATATTGGTGCCACTTTGGGTTTAATCAGTACAAAGCCATTCCCTGTCACTGTGGGTGTCCTGGGAAGTTGGATTTCCCAGGATTTCTGTGTCTGCCCCATCCCTTGGCCCAGCTTTGTGCTGTCCTTTCCTTTGAGAGGAATACAAAGGACTGACAGAAAATGCCAATTGTAATTCCTTGGAAAGAAAAAGAGATTTTTTTAATCCTGGCACAGCCCTTTTGTTAATTTTTTTGTCCATCAATATAGACATCTATACATATATTTGCATATTGATAAGATATGTACACGTTGCACTAATTTTTTTTTTTTCACAGACAGAAGAAATTAAAATAGGTTCATTAAAAATCCCCCTAAATTAATTAATTAATATTTTTTATATTTATGAAAAATCCCCACCTAGGCTTGGTAATATTTTCTATATTTATTTTTCATATTCATTGCCTTGTGCAGGGAATGTGAAGCAAAAACTGCCAAGTCCCCACTTCATTTGGATACAAAATAAATGAATTAATTGTCGCCTTCATCTCTTGTTTGCCTCAATTCTGAAGATTGGGAAAAGCCATTAAATGCTAATATCCAAAGAATGCCATGGATTATCCTAATTATTCCTTATAATGATCCCGCCACGAGGAGAAACACCAAACAATGCAGTGAAACATTTTGTGTTCTGTCCAAAAAAATGAGAGCTTTGGAGTGAATTGAGTGAGACTCTGTAAATGAATGACACGGATCTCTGGGATGGGAAAGGAACACAATGACAAAGTCATCCCAGCTGGACACTCGGATGCACTGCGGGACATTCCCAAATCCTCTGATTTTTCACAGGGTGGTGCTGGTCCCTGGTTGTAGCACAAGCTGGGAAAGACTTGAGAAGCCAAGCAAATCCACAGGCAGGAAGGTTTATCCCGGGATCTTTGAGGCTGGAAAAGACCTCCAAGGCCATCGAGTCCAACCTGTGCCTGATCCCCACCAGAGCACCAAGTGCCACATCCAGGAATTCCTTGGACATCTCCAGGGGTGGGGAATCCAAGCCCTCCCTGGACAGTTCCGAGGTCTGGCCACCCTTTCCATGGGGAAATTCCTGCTGGTGTCCAGCCTGAGCCTCCCCTGGCCCAGCCTGAGGCCATTCCCTCTCCTCCTGTCCCTGTTCCCTGGGAGCAGAGCCCAACCCTCCCTGGCTGTCCCCTCATGTCAGGGACTTGTGGGAAGTGAGAAGGGGCCAGATCCAGGATTCCATTCCATGGATTCCATGGGAAATCCTTGATGAAACCAATGACAGGGAGAGCCGAGAGTTTCAGGATGTGGGAAACGTGAGGATGGGCTTCATGCCCCCAAGCACATGGACAATGCAGATATTGCCATCAGAGACTTCTGTATAGTGAAATCCCCGTGGAATTTTGGAGGAGAGTCCAGCTGACCTCAATTCCATTTTAATTTTGGGACGCTGAGCCAACTCGATTGACTCAACCAATAAAGAGAACCTGAGGTTCAGGTTGGACATCAGCAGGAATTTCCCCATGGAAAGGGGGGTCAGGCATTGGCAGGGGCTGCCCAGGGAGGTTTGGAGTGCCCATCCCTGGACGAGTCCAAGGAATTCCTGGATGTGGCACTTGGGTCTCTGGGCTGGAGACAAGGTGAGGATTGGGAACCCACCAACCATTCCAAGGTTGGATGACCTTGGAATTCTTTTCCAAGCTCAGTGATTCTGCCCAAGGTCCCTCTCACAGACACCACCTCCTTTATGCAGATGAGACCCCCCCCTTTTTTATGACACCACATCCTTCTCCTATTTTCCCTTCCAAAATGATTTTTTTTCCAAATGGGAGGGAGGAAAATCGTGCATTCCCCATCCGTGGAGGTGTTACGAGCCAAGCTGGATGTGCCTTGTGCTGGGATGGTCGGGAACGTTTCCACAGCCGTGAATTCCAGGGGGTCTCAGGGGAATGTAGGTGGGAATCAAACCATCAACCTTGACTGCCATGAGAGAAGATTTTCCTTAGCTCAGGAATGGGGAATCCCTCTGAACCGATGGATTGAGAATGGGAAAGGACGGGAAGAGGCTGTGACAGATGAGTTGGGTGGAAACCTCCCCAAAAAGAGGGTAAGTGTTGAACAGAGAGGACAAAGACATGAATCCTGGGAAAACACTGCTCTGGGAATACTCACAAACTGTGATTTATCCGCCGGAGGTGCTTCCGTGATGGATTTCAAGTCTTCCTCGGAGATCCGCTCCATCTCCTCCAGGGCTGACCCGGAGTACAGGACCGCGTCCTTCACGAAGATGCTGACGGCTCTCAGCATGAAGGACACAAACAGGTGCATGTGGATGTAGTTCCTAGTGCAGTGCAAACGTCTGGAAGAGGAGAAAAAGGATTGGGAAGTTTACTCCAGCTGTTGGATGGAGTCAGGGCCGCTTCCGGCTCTGGAGGGCCCCAGCTTCTCCCCCCAGCGCCGTGTCCCCATGGGGAGCAGAGTGAGGGTCACCTCACTCCCTGCTCTCCCTTGGCCTTGGGAAATGGATTGACACCTTCTCCAGGGGCTTCAGGGAATCATGGAATGGTTTGGGATAGACGGGACTTCAAGCCCACCCAATCCCACCCTCTGCCATGGCAGGGACACCTCCCACTGTCCCAGGTTGCTCCAAGCCCCGTCCAGCCTGGCCTTGGGCACTTCCAGGGATCCAGGGGCAGCCACAGCTGCTCTGGGAATTCCATCCCAGCCCCTCCCCACCCTCCCAGCCAGGAATTCCTTCCTCAAATCTGCTCCAACCCTGCCCTCCAGCAGTGGGAAGCCATTCCCGCTCTCCTATCCACACTTGCCCTTGGATTCCAGAGGCTCCAGAACTTGGGGCCACTGGAAACCTCACAGAGCTTCTTGTAAACCATTAATTTTTATTTTTATTTTGCCCAGCTCAATTTAGGAGCAGCTCCAGCAGAAACTCCAGTGTGCTGGGCTGTTCTCCCAGTTTTCCTGCTGTAAATGTTATCCTTTGGAGCAGTTTGTGGGCTCCACCCCAGCAACAGCAGCAGTGACCCCACAAATCCTGGTTGTAAAGCGCTTTAAGGTCCTTTTAGGAGGAAAAGCTTTTTTGGGGATGGTGAGAGGGGAATGGGTCAGAACGAGGGAGAAGAGGTGCATTTTAGAATCAGGATTTTTGGGAACTGACCTCTTTGGGTGCCCTCCATCCTCTGGAGCTCTGGATTTATGAATGGATTTATATCCTCTTAAATCCCAATAACCTGCACTAATTAATGGTTATGTTTTTATCCCTTTTGCAGGACGTTATGATAACATCAACAGTTGCTCTCTGAGCTTTTATAATCCAAATTACACCAAGTGGAACTGGTGAGGTCTAAATTGGCTTTGCTCCCTGCGTTTGAAAGGGAGTCGTCGCCAATCTCCAGATTATCGAGGATAAAATCCGGCTCGATCCCGGCTGCTGCTCTGATCCTTGGGATAAAGATGCTCCACCAGAGCTGCCCAGGTGGTCTGGGCTGGAAATGAAACGAGTGGGATAAAGATATGGAAAAAGGAAAACCAGGATTTCTCTCGCACACATGGACACGGAATATTTTAACAACCTTGCCAGTGTCCAGTGGGAAATCAGTGGAGGGAAAATGTTGGGAGAACAGGAGCGTGGTGGAGGGATGGGGTCTGCAGCTCCCTTTGGATTGGGTCTGTCACGGATTTGGGATTTGCTATCCAAGCAAACCGCCCTGACACCTTTTGCTGCCTGACGAGAGCTCCGAGCACTCTCAGAGCCCAAAGCCCCACGTTTCATTCCCAGTGTTCCATGTCGAGGGCTTGGCTCGAGCTTCCCAAATCCCGCTGCAGACACCACGTGGCTGTCGTGGCCCCCACCAGCTCTGATCCACGTCCCGTGGGTTTTTTTAGGAGAAGACACGAGCAGGCATCGAAGGGAAGCAAATCTGGGGCTCAGGGTTTGGGGTCACCCTTCTCTGTCAGGTCACCAGACAGAACATTCCCAAAGGACAAATTCCTGGATATGGGTGACACCTTTCATCCCGCCCACCCCTCGCTGTCTGTGCCTGCAAGAATCCCAGGATCCCAGAATGGTTCGGGCTGGAAGAGACCGTAAATATCCCATTCCAACTATCCCAGGTTGCTTCAAGCCCTGTCCAACCTGGCCTTGGGCACTTCCAGGGATGGAAGATGCAACACTGGATTGAGGAATGGACAATGAGGGTTCAAAGTGGTATTTAGGGGTTTAAATCCCTTGGCAGGGGTGGTGGGAAGGGAGGGCACACGATGGGGTCAGGAGGGTCATTTTTGGATCCCTGGGAAGAGCAGCAGCGTGGGGAGATTGGAGAAATCAGCCTGGGAGTTTTCCATCCATTTCAACTGCTTTATCCTTCGAGAACACCTGGATTTAGAGTGGAATTTCCCTCAGGAAATCGTATTTCTCTGCAAATCAGCCACCTAAAGCTAAACCAGCCACCCGCAGGGACAATAGGGACAGAAATTCCTGGACAGTCTTCCAAGGGATTCCTGGAAGATTTGCTACAAAGAGGGCCTGGAAAACTCCACCTGAGGGAAGCAGAAGGAATTTCAACATCCCACTCGCCGTCCCGCGGGAAGTTTTCCCTAGGACACCCTAACACAGCCCAAATCCCAGACGCCACCACCACCGCCGGCGGCTTCCTGAAGCGTGCCACCCCAGTTTTATCCTCCCGGAAAAACCTGAGGCTTTTCCGGTGTTGCTTAGGTAAAAACAGAGCCGCCTACCTGAAGTATCCCAGGATAAGGACAGCAACTGTGAGGGATCCCAGGGAGATGGAGTATCCAACAGTATAAATCAAATAGAGGCGATCAAAGACCTCCTGCAGCAGAAACGATGGAGAAAACAGCGTCACACGGGGAACTGCTGCACCACACAACCCTGGCAGCACGCAGAGCCCGGATCCTTGGGGATTCCCATCTTTTTGGAAGCTTGGGAAGCGGGGTCTGTGTTCCCTGAGGTGGGGAGGTGGGATTTTCCCTGTGGGATTTTCCCCAAGGGATTAACAATGGAGTGGGGTTAATCCCATGCCTGGGAATCTCGCGGCATTTTCATCCCAGAGGAACCCAAAGTGCTTTACAAACTCCTGGCCCAATTCAGGGATCACTTGGGAATTTTTTCCTGGACAAAACGCCTGCTGAGCTGGGAATTTTGCAAGGGATTAACAATGGAGTGGGGTTAATCCCATGCTTGGGAATCTCACGGCATTTTCATCCCAAAGGAACCCAAAGCGCTTTACAAACTCCTGGCCCAATTCAGGGATCACTTGGCAATTTTTCCCTGGACAAAATGCCTTCTGGGCTGGGAATTTTGCTGGAATTGCACAATTTAGCCGTTGCTGGATGACTGATGTCCAGCCTAGGCGAGTGTCACCCACACCAGAAAACACGGGAAGGAAATACTTTGGCTATGGGATACGAGGGGAAAAAAAATCACCTGCATTTATTTTTCCCGTTTTGAAACCCCAAGCAACCTCTGCCTGTGGTTATCCAATCCAGACACAACCGGAGCTTGCCAAAATCCCATTGGAAAAGATCCTGTCACAGGGTAGTTCCTAATAATTAATCCTTTAGGAATTAAGAATTTAGGAACTTTAGGTTGTTGTTTCCTGAAGTTGGCCTCGAAACCCTAAGGTTTCCAACAAACATTGGGAGATTTTCCTTGATCCTGCTGGGACTTGCAGCTGAACTCAGGGATTCCTGGAAAGGGTTAAAATTCCTGCCCACCCCTGTCCCGGCCTGTCCTGCTTTTCCCAGACCGATTTTAGCAATAAATCCCAAAAAAACCCCTACAAATTCAGCATCTTTCTCCTCATTCCCTCCTTTCCCTCGCCCTGCCCACTGGGCTGCAATAACGTCAGGAATGCTGGGCCCTGAATGACAGCTCTGATTGGGATTTGAGGCTTGGAACGCTGTCCTGGAATGCCAAACCTCAGCCCTATTACATCAGAATCCGCAGATTTGGGAATGTTTCTCTGCGGTTTGCGCTGGAGGAGCGAAGCCCTTGCCAATATTAATTTACTGAGTGTGTCTGTGCGTATTTATGGGATATTTTTATAGATTTTTATAGATCTGTCTGTGCAGGCAGCAGGCCCTGAAAAGCCAAGAAAAGGAGATTTCAAAGCTTTCAGGGAAAAATATCCTGGCGTGATTTTCCTGCTGCCAAGCTGGAATCCTCTTGGAGCTGGAAAGCGTTTGACTCCAGAGTAAAAAATATAATAATAATATAAATAAAATATAAAAATAAAAATAGAAAAAAACCACTATTATTATTAATAATGTAAATATAACTATAACTATTTATAATAAATAAAATATATATTTTATATATAAATATATATAGAATATAAATATATATAAATATATATAGTAAAATATTTTAAAAAGTAACAATGATAATGATGATGATGATGATGATAGTATTATTAATAATAATAATAATAATAATAATAATAATAAACATAATAATAAACAGCTTCTCACTCCAAGGTTGGAATTCTCAGTAACCCAACAGAAGGAGGTGCCCCAAATCCCACTTGGAGTCACTGGAAAGCTGTTGGGAAATGTGATTTCTTGGATGAACTTCTCAGATCTTTGGGGAAAGCCTTAGGAGCAAAAAATTGAGGCTCTCCATTTCCACTTCTCCCTCACTTGGAGCTGAGGACTGGTTGTTCCCAGGAACTTTTCCTCCCTGGATTTACCCATGAGGGAAAAAAATCTCCAAAGGAATTCCAAGTCTCCCAAGGTTTTCCCATGGAAACCACAATGAACAACTAGGAAAGGTCCTCCAGGTAGGGAAATACTGAATGATCTGCAGTGATGATCTCCATGGTCTGAGGAGCATCCTTAGGGAGCTGAGATGGATGGGAAGTTAAATAATCCCCAGAAAACCACAAAGGTCGCGATGGCCAAGCCATGGACACAACGTGGAGCTCCATCACTCCAGGGAGTTCCCACCTGAGGCCTCCTGGAAGTCCAGCCTGAGGAGACCATCCCTGGTCATCCATCGGTGGAAGAGGCCAAACCTGGCCTTGCCATGAGGTCCTGGTTTATAAAGTGTGATAATGAAATTTGAATTGACTTTAATTTTAATTTAAATTTAATGATAATTAAACTAAATTAAATTTAATTATCATTTAATCGAAGCATTCAGGGCTTCATGGAGGTGTCCCTGCCCACGACACAGAGCTGGAACTGGCTGAGCTTTAAGGTCTGTTCCAACCCCAACCAATTCAGGATTCCATGATTCCACAAATTTGATTCCTGCAGGAGCCCTCCACTCTTTCAACTGCTGCCATGTGTGCAAAAGGAAAAGGAAAACCAGACGGAGCAGGAATTTTCTGGTGGCAAATCCTATCCCGAGTTTCATGGTTTGCTGCTTTGAGTGATAAACAAAGCCAGAAAATCTCTGTCCTTGCTTTTCTTGCCTTTTTTTTTTCCTTTTTTTTCCTTTTCTTTTCTTTTCTTTCTTTTTTTTTTTTTTTGCAGGAAAATGGGACTAAATAAAAAGCTAAATGGGATATTCACAAAATGGGATATTCACAAAACGGGATATTCACCGAATGGGATATTTACCAAATGGGATATTTACCAAATGGGATATTCACAAAACGGGATATTCACAAAATGGGATATTCACCGGATGGGATATTTACCAAATGGGATATTCACAAAACGGGATATTCACAAAATGGGATATTCACAAAAGGCACAGAACAGGCTCTGATTTCCAAAGCTTCAGGGAAAACTTTAGGTGCTGATGATCCTGTTCCTGCAGGACTCTGTTCCCCTCATCCATCCCTCGTAAAACCCTCTTAAATCCCCCCAATCTGAGAGTCGCTGGGATTGGCTCTCACAAAAGACCCCCAATTTAGCCTCAGACACCCCAATTTAGCCTCAGACACCCCAATTTAGACATGCGTGTCCACAAAAATCATCTTTAAGCTCCTTTCCAACCCAAACCATTCCAGGATTCTGGGATTCTATTTCCAGGAAAGCACCACACCAAATCCACAGGCATGGAATGAGGACGGCACCTCGGGGTTAATTGAAATTATGAACAAAACATCTCTCGGATAATTTGTTTTACTCCTCCACGGCCTTTAAAAACCTCTGCCCGCGTCCTGCTGCAAATGCCTGACGCTTTGCTGGCATGCCTCGGCGGAATTCGGGATACAACAATCCAAACCCGTTCCTGTGCCGTCACTTTGAGCCTCCACAAAGTTGTTTGCTTTTCCCAGGACCCCAGAGAGCTCCAGGATTGCTGCTTGGAACAATGGAGTTTAGATAAAGCAGCCCTGCAACACGCTGGGCCCTTCCCATTGTGTTTGGAAGGGGATGGATTCTCCAGGCCCCTCCGAATTCCCGGGAAGCCGTAAAACCCTCATGCTACAGACAAGCAGGAGCAGATGAAGACAGGGCTGAGGTTGGATCTTAGGATGGCCCATCCTGCTGGTGGCTCCCAAGCCGAGCCAACCTCCCAAGTTGCTGGCTCCGACTCCCCTTCCCCGGGATTTCGGGAGAGGGAGATTCCACTCGCCCTTCAGCTCATCCTTGGGAAGAGGATGGGTTAGACCTGCCATAAAAATAAGCTCTGTTTGGCATCCCTGCTCTTTTGGGGGAGATGGGAATGAGGGAAATCCCTGGTTTTTGACCCAAACATGCCATTGCTGCTGCCAGTGTTGGAAAAAGTGACCGGAAAAAGGATCTGGCTGCTATTGGCTGGATGTGTGGAAGGTAAGGGATCCGCAGTCGGCGGCTCTATGGAATTTGGGGAGGAATGGGCTAAAAAGCTGCCCGAGGATCATCACTTGTCCTTTGTGCTGCATTTTATCCAAAGAGTGAGGAGCTCAAGGAATACAGGTCACCCTCACTCCTGGTTTTAAGGGAATTTAGGGAACAAAAGGAGAAGGGCCAGGCCAATGGTCCTTTCAGCTCCACTCCCCGTCTCCTTTGTGGCCAGGAAGGGGTGCTTAGGGAAGAGTGTGGGAACAGAACAAATCCACAATAAATATGATTTGGAGCTGCTGGAATGATCCAGAGGAGGTCCCGGAGCTGCTCCAATGCTGGAGCCAGGCTGGGAGAGCTGGGAATGTTCCCCTGGAGAGGAAAAGCTCCAGGGAGAGCTCAGAGCCCCTTGCAGGGCCTGAAGGGGCTCCAGGAGAGCTGGAGAGGGACTGGGGACAAGACAGGATGAGGGGATTGGGTTCAAATTGAAAGAGAGTCGAATTAGATGGGATATTGGGAAGGAATTCCTGGCTGGGAGGGTGGGGAGGGATGGGAATGGAATTCCCAGAGCAGCTGTGGCTGTCCCTGGATCCCTGGCAGTGACCAAGGCTGGACACAGCTTGGAGCATCCTGGGACAGTGGAAGGTTCCTGCCATGAGGGACAAGACAACCCAGTGCCACCCCCTGCCATGGACAGGGACACCTCCCACTATCCCAGGGTGCTCCAAACCCCGTCCAATCCAGACTTGGACACTGCCAGGGATCCAGGTCACAGCTGCCCCGGGAATTCCATCCCAGGCAGGAATTTCTTCCCAAAAGTTCAGAGGAAGCTGGGACGATTGGAGCAGGTTCCTCTTATCCTCTCCTCTTCTCATCCCGTGTCCATCACCGATGGATGGGGAGTGTGGAACTCCAGTCCCTTTGACCACTGCAAGGTCTTGGAATCATGGAATGCTTTGGGAAGGGGCCTTAGAGCCCATCCAGTGCCAGCCCTGCCATGGCAGGGACATTCCCACTATCCCAGGGTGCTCCAAACCCCGTCCAACCCGGCCTTGGACACTTCCAGCTGATTGTCCACTCCTTCTTTCATGTTATCTGGAAGGAATTTGAGAAAACACTTCCCTGGATTGCTTCATCCTACCTGGCTAAAGGAGGAATCAACCTCTGGGGCTGCCAGTTCCCATCCTCCAGTGGAATTTTTCCCTGAGGAAGCAGCCCAGGAGCAGTTGCTCCCGGGGCAGTTACAAGCTGTTAATTCTCCGGGCTCTGATGGCTTTAACACACTTTGCTCTTTGCAGAGAGCAGTTTCCGAGCTGCTCTGTGTGAAATAATCCCCATTTCTTCGGGGCAGGACACCAATTTGCTCTGGGGCCCTCTGTTTGCTGCTTTGGCCAATCTTAAAATTATCCCAGCACGGCTAAAATGGGAAAACTCTCCACCTAAACAAACATCCCTGGCTGGAGATGTGTGCACGCACGTGGTGTTTATTTAGGTGTGGATATCTCCAGCTATCTATAGGTTCAGGCCTATTTCCAGAGATAGCCACCAAATCCATGTATTTATAGCCACAGACAGTTGGGTTAGGGTTTGTTGTTTTTTTTTCCTCCTAAAAGCCCAGTTTCTTAAAATTCCCTCTGGTTGCATCTGCTTGGAGTCAGCCACAATCTCCTGGCAGAACGCTGGGGAAATGCAGCTGTTGGTGGTGACGCAAAGATGCCGCTCCCCAGGGAGGGAAATAATAATAGAAAACGATCTCTCGCTCAAGACGACAGCTCTATGTGGCCAAATTCCCCCGTTCTGACATCTCTGGATGTATTTACTCCATGAAAAAGAGATATCAAAGGGAGGTTTATTAATCCCAGCGTTGCAGGGCCACATTGAAGTGTGACAAGAGGCCTTCTGTGCTCTCTGTGAGCAAAGTCACACCATGCTGAGGGGAAAAGTGCATTTTTCCCCCCCTTTTTTATTTCCAGCGTGGTTTTCACACCCCAAAGCCTAAGAAACCTGCAGTGGATGCACAGATATTGTTTAATTTGTCACCAGAATTCAGCCACCTCTGTGATAAAATCGGGGAACTCCGTGACAAGGCACAGAATTGCTGAGGCGAGGCCGGGCCTGAGGGAAAGGCCTCTTGCAAATACAACAATAATAGTAATAGTAATAATAATAATAATAATAGTAATAATAATAATAATAATAATGATAATAATGAGATGTTGAAAATTTACTCCATGAAAAAGAGATATCAAAGGAAAGTTTATAATCCCCTTAAGCTTGACAAGAGGCCTTCTGTGCTCTCTGTGGGCAAAGTCACACCACACGGAGGGGAAAAAGTGCATTTTTCCCCTCTCTTTTACTTCCAGAGTGGTTTTCACACCCCAAAAAACCCACAGTGGATGCACTTTATTTGCCACAATAATTCAGCCACCTCTGTGATAAAATCAGGGAACTCTGTGACAAGGCACAGAATCGCTGAGGTGAGGCCGGGCCTGAGGGAAAGGCCTCTTGCAATTATAATAATGATAATGATAATGATAATGATAATGATAATGATAATAATAATAATAATAATAATAAATTTTAGATGTCATTAAAAAGCATTAGTTGATTGAGATACGATTTCAAAGCTGGCAGAAACATCCATTTTTTCCGTGTTCTTTGCCCTGGGTAAGCACCACTTATGTAAGACCAGCCTGGTCACTTAATGTGAACAGTGATGATGGTTTAATTTGTCTTCATATTAAATATCATTCCATTCACCTTTGGAGCCATGACAGAAAATTCCTGGCAAAAGATGCCTCAGCTTTGGGTACAGAATAATGAGGAGGAGGATTTGGGGGTGGGTAATTAACACAGCTCATTTAGGGAGAGCTCATGAGGAGCAGGAATTTCCCAAGAGGCTGAGATTAACAGGAGGAATCACCACGGGAGATTTTGCTTTCAGCCTTTTCAATCACCCTGGAGGTGGAAAGTCTCCATTTCTGCCTCTGTGGTGGGAATAAAGAATGAGCAACTCTGCTCTTCTTCGCGCCCTTCCTTTACCAGGTCACCCTGACAAGTCCTGCTTGTGGGAGGGTGAAAGGAAAGGATGTCCTTTCCCTGGGGGAAATCTTGGATCGGGGGAAATCAGCTGGACAATTCCCACCCCAGGATGCAGCTGAGGGTAGTGGGTCAGAGGAGATGATTTCAGAGAGGTCAAAAGTCTGCGCTTTGATCACGGTGCTCGATGACTCTCACACCTGTTCCAGGAGCTTCCCAGAAAATTCTGGGGCTAGAAGAGCTCTTTTCTAAGTTCTAAGAACTGGGAAAAATCCCACCAAACTGGTTTGGGAAGGGAACTTCATCCAGCCCTTTGCTGGAGTGGCTGGAGCAGCACCCAGCACACACAACCTTCTGCCCCTTGCCCATGTCAGAGAAAAAACTCATTTCCTCCTTTCCCTCATTTCCTAAATCTCTTCATTCATGAGCTGCTTCACTCTTGAGGAGAAAAAAGAGCGAACTTTGGAACAACCCAAAAGAGCGAACTTTTTGAACAACCGGAAAAAAAAAAGGAAAAAAACCCCAAACAAACAACAAAAAAACCCAAACCAAAACAAAACCCCGACCCCAAAAAACCCTACTCTGTGGTTAGATTTCGAATTAAGAACATTGTCCCGAAGGGCCTCTGGATCATCCTCAAGGAAGCTGTGGTTAGATCCTTATCTCCGGCTGTCTGGGCTAATCCTCCCTGCGGCTCATCAGCCCCTAACGCCGTGCCCCAGATCCGAGGGGACTCTTCCAAGAACCACTGGAAAACCAGAGGGTTTGGATAAATTCTTTGGGAATTACAGGTGCGTGTGGGTGGGAACGTCATTCTCTGTGGGACAAGGAGGTCACATCCTCCCGAGTGACACCAGGGACAGCTTTGCTGTCACCTTAGCACGGAATTCCTTCCAGACTTCCGGCATTTCCAGAGCCCCAAGCTGGCTCCTGGGGAGGTGGGAAATTTCTGGCAGCTGCTATTTGGCTATTTTATCATTTTCTGGATGTTTCTAAATTTATGGCTGACAGATTTTTATTTTTATTTTATTCCAAGAGCACACCAGACCTTCTCCATGTGCTTGGAAACCCTTTTCCAGCTGGTGACTGGTGTCACTCTTTCCAGATTGTGACTACACCAGAATTAATTCAAGATTGTGGAACAGCGGTTAGGTTTGGGTGGGAAGGGATCTGAAGGATGATCCCATTCCACCCCTGCCATGTTCAGGGACACCTCCCACCTTCCCAGGTTGCTCCAAGCTCCATCCAGCCTGGCCTTGGGCACTGCAGGTATCCAGGGGCAGCCACAGCTGCTCTGGGAATCTGTGCCAGGGCCTCCCCACCCTCCCAGCCTGGAATTCCTTCCCAATATCCCATCTGAATCTACTTCCTTCTGGCTCAAAGCCATTCCTGTCCCTCCATCCCTTGTCCCCAGTCCCTCTCCAGCTCTCCTGGAGCCCCTTCAGGCTCTGAGCTCCCCTTGGAGCTTCTCCTCTCCAGGGAAACATTCCCAGCTCTCCCAACCAGTTGCTCCTGGTTTGACTCCACACGTGTTTGGACATCCCCTCCCACAGACAACCACAGAAACATTGGAATTTTCGATAACAACCTGGCAGCAAAAGGATTTCCTGCTGTGGCAGAGGGAGCCTCAATGCCACAGAACAAGCTCCAACCACTTCTGAGCGTCCCCGAGACCAATTTCCTCCACGATCTCTTCAGGAATGGGATCATGGCAGCTGCAGGAAACTTTCCTGCCTTTGAGGACAATTTTCCAATCAAATCATTGCCCATCAAAGTGCGGTGTGGCTTTGGCAAGCTTGGGAAGGCTTTCCAAGAGGAGGAAGATGAGCTGGAGAGGTTTTATTTGAGACAGAGGTCTGTGGGTTAGCCCGGCATGAGGCCGGAAATTCCGGCTCCATGCAGGAATGGGAATGCCTACCCTTTCCCTCGTCTCGTTGGTGAGGAACTTGGCGCACTCGCTGTAGTTGGCCCAGGTGCGGTTGTTGCCCGGGACCAGCTCCCAGCTCCCGTTCAGGTCACACCGGCGATAAGCGTGGCCTGAGGAGAGAGAGGAGACACGGAATCAGCGGGAAAAGGGGAGAAATTCCATCCCAAGGTGACGCCCATCCACGCTGGGGCCTCCTGCCTGCTCAGAGGCTGGGCTGCAAAAACCAACTTCAATCTCCACGTCAATTTTATCAAAATTCTATCAATTTTTTTAGCTGAGAAACACCATGGAGCCTTTAATAAGTTGCCCAGGGTTGAAATTCAGATGTTGGGTCTGCAAACCAAGGAGAGAAGACTTGGAAAAACATAAAATCTAGCATTATCCTCAGAATTCCTTGCATCTCTCCCTAAGGGAAAAGAATAAAAGGCGATTTGTACTATTTTGCTCTTTGTTTGCAGGTTCAGGTCATGTCCAGGGGTATTTTTTTATCCCTGTCCTCCTCACGGGGATGCAGGAGGAAGGGACTGCAAGGTTTCATCCTTGGATTCATCTGGCAGAGGAGAATATCCATGTGGGAATTGGGGCATCGGGTGTGTGTTAAAATCCCCTCACAGACACGGAATTAACAAAGCCCTGAGACCGGGAATAAATTAATATTTTGGAATTTGGAAAAATATTTTGGGCTTTTCTTGCTACACAAAGTTCAGGGGGTCCAACGAATCCGGGTTTGGGAATCTCCAGGATTTACAGCTGGGAGCTGTGAGCAGGAAATTGGTGTTTAGAATGTCACAGTCCGTGAGGGGCAGGTGGGAAATTGGTGATTCTGAGCGGGAAATTGTCATTATTTCAGTTCAAATGGAGCTTTTCTTCCAATAATTTATACATATATATATATATATATATGTATATATATATATATATATATAAAATATAAATATTTATAATATAATATATATATTTATATATAATATTTATACAATAGTTATACATATAAATATTTATACATATATAGAAACATAATTTAGATATTTCATATATAATATCTATAACAATATTAAGAATTAATATTAATAATTAGTAATACTAATAATACTATTTATAATATATTTAAATATTCTATATATTAATATATTTATATATAAAAATATGTTTATATATATTGTACATCTATAGATATATATTTTTACATTTTATAAATATTTAAATAAATATATTTATATAAATTTATATAATTTTAGATATATATTTTTACATTTTATAAATAAATATATTTATATAAATTTATATAATTTTAGATATATAAAAATAAACATATGTATATAAATTTACATAACTTTTAGATATATATAAATAAATATATTTATATAAATGTATATAATTTTTAGATTATATATATATATATATATTTATATAATTTATGTTTCTCAACGCTTATCAATAAACAACGGCCGCCTCTTTTCTTCCCCTTTCCCGGCTTCACTCCCGCTTGGAAGGGAGGCACCGCTTGAGAGAAAAACAGGGATGAGGAAGGGAATTCTGAGCTTCCCGGCCGTCGGGAATGGCCGGAGCCGCACGCACCTTTGTGGTTGAAGTCGTAGATGTACTCGGGGCACGGCATGGCCACCACCTTGCCGGGCACGCCCTCGGGCCAGCACACGATGCCGTCCCACTCGGGCAGGCAGAAGCCATCTGTGGGAGAGAAGAGGCACCAGGAGGAGTCACCGCACCCGCGTGGGTGACACCGATCCCCCCTGCTCCAGAGGGCTCCCCGCTGGCGTTCCCTTGGAGAAACCCGTCCTAGGAATCGTCGCCGATTCCTTCGTGCCTGCCTCTAGAAGGTGTGAATTATCCCAAGGTTTATTCCGCAAGGACAAACTGTGTCCGGCTCTGGGATCCCCAGGATCAGAAAAGCGTGGCACTGCTGGAGAGAGAGTCCAGAGAGCTCCAGAGAAGTTTCTCCAAGGGCTGGAGCCCCTCTGGAGCCAGGCTGGGAGAGTTGGGAATGTTCCCCTGGAGAGGAGAAGCTCCAGGGAGAGCTCAGAGCCCCTTGCAGGGCCTGAAGGGGCTCCAGGAGAGCTGGAGAGGGACTGGGGACAAGGGATGGAGGGACAGGACACAGGGAATGGCTTCCCACCGGTTGGATGGGATATTGGGAAGGAATTCCTGGCTGGGAGGGTGGGGAGGGGCTGGGATGGAATTCCCAGAGCAGCTGTGGCTGTCCCTGGAACTCTGGAATTGCCCAAGGCCAGGCTGGATGGAGCTTGGAGCAACCTGGGATGATGGGAGGTGTCACAGCAGGGGTGGGATGATCTTCCCGGGCCCAGGACCTGCTCTGGCCCTTGCTGAATTCCAGAAATTTCCTCCCTGCCCCTCTCCCCAACCTTTCCAGGTCCCTCTGAAGGGCTCCACCACCCCCCAAGGCATCGCTTGCCCTCAGCTCGGTGTCCTCAGGGATCTCCTCTGCTTCAGGCTGGATAACTGCACGCATCCCTTAAATTCCAGCTGCAGTGGGATATTGAGAACAAAATGCTAAAAGTGGCGGATCTGCCCCAAATCTGCTCCAGGAGCTGTGTCTGCCCTCAGTCAAGTGTCGGACGCAGGAGTCAGCTCAGAGTCAAAAGGAGCAGGAACCACCTGCTCTTATCCGCAAAAAACTCCGCTAGGAACGAAATCCAAACAGGGCCAAGAGCTCAGCGTGTTCCATGGATATCAAAGCTTCCAAGCACCCAGGAATTAATCTTTCCTCACCAGTGCGATTTCCCGAGATTAAAGGAAAACCAGGATTGCTTCAAAGCCCTTTGGCTGGTCTAGGGTGGGAGCCGACACGGATTAATTTGGTTTGGTGGTTTTTAGGAGATGAAAAACACAGAAGATCTCCTCATGTAGCAGCTGATTTCTTATCTCTAATTTAGTGGGGATGAAAAGGACCAGACAAATCACAGACTTTCTTCTGAAGCATCAACTGGGAGTGAGGGTCAGGAGCTAAAATTCCTCAACATCCGCGTGATAAAAAGAAGAGGGAAATAATTTACTGCATTTTCTCTGCTTAAAGTCCCACTAGGAGAAGAAAAATACATTTCCTATTCATGAAAACTGGGAAAATCCTTCCCTCTGGCTTGTTGTTTGCAGGATAACTTACACTGGGAAAAAAGAGTTTATTTATTTCTCAGTTCTCTGGAAGGTACAAAAGACAAAGGAAAAATAAAACCAAACCTAAAAAAAACAACACAGGGCCCCACAGAATTTGGCTCAGGACAAAATGTTGATGTCCTTGAGGTCTTTTCTGCAGACAAGAAAGTAAATAAAGATTTAATGGAGCCCTCAAAGTGCTCTTGCTTAAAATAAAATCAGTCCTTATGACAAAATAAATCAATTTGAGTAAACACTAAAAGAAACACAGTGGAGAAACGAGTCTGAGAGAAAAATATTCCTCCAAAAGTGCTCTGAAACGAGAGGGAAATATCTCCTGCTTTTCCAAAACCTTCACGAATTGCAAAGGGCGACTTCGTTTTTCAGAGGTTTAATTTCGCACCCCACCAAAATCTGTGGCCAGAAAAGAGGAACGTGCTAAATTTTGTGGTGGGTGCGTCCTCCTTGTGCTGGAAACGTGGAAAACTGATGACAAACCCCACAGTTGTTGATTTTTGGGTACTTTGAGCCCCCCAAAATTCCCCCTGAAATCTGAAGGGAGCAGTGGTGGGACACCTCTGGGATGCTGCTTTAGGATGGGACAAGGTGGGGAGCCAAGAGCTGCCCCAGAAATATTCCAAAAGATGATTTTTTGCATTTAAAATTTTCCCTCTGCATGGAAATGATTCCTTAAATGATTTAATCCCAGAACTGAATCATTAAAGCTGGTAAGAATCCACTGGGACTCAAAATTCAGGATAAATTGCTGGGAAGTGTCGGAGATTCCCAACAAAAGGATCCGTCGCTGTTACCGAGAGCTGAACCACCCCAGAGAAATCTCTTCCCCCTCCTCTCCACCATCTCTGGCCTCCCTCTCCCCATTCCTCGCTTGGAAAAGCCATTCCAGGAAAATTCGGAGGAGGGATAAAACATCTCAGGGGTCGTTTCCTTCCTGGAATTCCCCGGTGATGGATGGTGGGTTGAGGGAAGGGCAGGTGGATATTTGGGACACTCCCCCCTAAAATTCAGGATAACGCAGCTGTTTCCTGAAAATCCCTGGAGCCATGGGGGAAGGAGACAGGATTTGGGTTGGGAACCGGGATTGCAGGTAGGGAAACCTGGTGAGGAACATCCACATGTCAAGCCAGGTGCCTGTGGAGCTCCTGGAATGATCTGAGGAGCTCCTACATTGACCAAAACTCTTGGAAAACCTTTTTCAAACAGGAATATGGACTGATACCAGGAGCAGCCACACTTTGGGATTGTTGGATCCACATTCCTGGGGTTTGTCCTCTCTGTGTCCTGGAAAGGAGCCTCACCACCCTCCTCTGCTATCCCAAATCCCTCCAATCCTCCCTGCTAAGGAGACCTGGGAGCACGGCAGGGATGGGTTTAAATCACAGGAGGGTTCATCCCCACTGATTACAAGGGAGAAATTTTTTATAATGAGGGTGGTGGAACACTGGGACAGCTTTTCCAGAGAATTTGTGGATGCCCCTGGATCCCTGGAAGCGTCCAAGGCCAGGTTGGACAGGGCCTGGAGCAACCTGGGATAGTGGGAGCTGTCCTCGTCCACGGCAGGGGTGGAACAGGATAATCTTTAAGGCCCCTCCCAAGCCCAAATCATTCCATGAATCCCTGATAAGGCAGGAAGGGAAAATCCCATATTTCCCACTGTGCTGGAATCCAAACAAGCCATTCCTTTCTGTTTGTTTGTCCAAAGAGCTCCTCCAAACATCTTTTTTTTTTTTTTTTCCCCTGAATTTACAAAAACATTCACAGTATCAACAACTTGGTTTCTCCGTTTGTTTTCCTTTTCTCCCGATCATTCCTCCAATGAGATCCAGGCTGAATTCCAAGAAGAAAACAGAAAACTGGGGACGTTTGGCCTGTTAGTAATAAGTCAGTCCCTCCTGAGACACTGGTAACGAGATTCCAAAGCACAGAGAGCTCCAAAGGATCCAGTTGGAAAAGCTTGTTGAAAAACACTGGGAATTCTGGTGAAAATGAGTTTGAGGGTTCCACCATGCTGCTTGGATCGATCATGGAACCGGAAAAATCAAACATTTCTTTCCTTGGAAGAAATAGTAGGATTCATGGATGATGGAAGTCCAAAGGAATTCATGAACTGTTAAGAAAACAAGGAAATCTCACCCATATCCCACATCCCAAAGTGTTTTGGGTGTGTATCCATCATCCAGGCAATGCTGGAGGAACGATCCTGCTCATCCCTCAGGGATCTGCCTGTGGGTGAAGCTCCTCCGAATCCAGAGCTGCGTGTCTCATGGATGGGGACACGGAGCACGGGAACGGCACCGGAATTCCTCGTGATTTGAGGACATCACTGACCACTTCAGTGCCGGAGAAATGAGTCCTGAAGGGAAACATGGGATCCCTCCAGGATCCCACTAGCTCCACCAGGACATCTCCTGGATCTGTCCTTCCCCCCGCAAGCACATGGAAGTTGCAGTCATTCCAAGATGGGAACAAGCAAAAACTCTCTTGGATGACATTCCTGAAGAAATGAGTCCTGACGGGAGACATGGGATCCCTCCAGGATCCCACTGGCTCCTTATCCACCAGGACATCTCTTGGATCAATCCTTTCCCACTGAAACTTGGAATCTCGGTGGAAGCTGAAGTCATTCCAAGATGGGAACAAGCAAAAACTCTCTTGGATGTCATTGCCGCAGGATTTCCCTTTGGAAGGCAGGAAGGCCAATCCCAGAATTCTTTGGGAAGGGGCTGTCCCAAATGCACCCCTCATTTTGCTCCTTTGATTGATCTCCCTCACCTGAGCCAAGTCAGAATCCCAAAATCCCAGAGGCTGCTCCAGTAGAAAAGCAGGAGCAGGTTTGGGCCATCCCTGCTCAGGGTGAGCTATTCCCTCCTTCCTGCTCCTATCCCATCCCCCCTTTCCCCCATCCTCAATCCCGTTCCAGCCGGAACGGGACACTTTGCATGTGGAGAACACATTCAAACCATCTGCGAGGCTCCTTGGCAGCTGCACAAACGCAAACACGGGCTCGAGGTGTTTATCCAGGGGCACGGAATATAAATCAGCCCGGCTCATTCCGGCACCCGGGAGACCACAGTTGGAATAGGCTGTGCGATTGTGGTCACTCCATTACGGGAAGGACATTTGGGGCATTGGAAGCGGGCAGGGAGGAGGGACCAAAAATAAATGAGGCAGCGTTTGGGATAAGAAAGGGAGAAATCATTTGGGGATTGGAAGGGGAAGGAATCATTTGGGGATTGGAAGGGGAAGGAATCGTTTGGGGATTGGGAGGGGGTGGAATTGTTTGGTGATAGAAAGGGGGAGAAATTTTGGGGCAGGAAAGGGGAGAAATTGTTTTGGGATAGGAAGAGGGGAGGAATCGTTTTGGGATAGGAAGGGGAAGAAATATTTTTGGGATAGGAAGGAGGAAAATCATTTGGAGATTGGAAGGGGGAGGAATCATTTTGGGATTGGAAGGGGGAGGAATCATTTGGGGATTCGAAGGAGGAGAAATAATTTTGGGGTAGGAAGCGGGAGGAATTGTTTGGTGATAGAAAGGGGGA